TTCCACGAGCGGATGGGGCCAACGCCAACACGGCAGACCGGGAAGGAGACGTTGGATCTTAATGAACTCAGCAGCCGTAGGGACGGCAATATCTGCGAGTGACACTGGACACCATCTTGAACAAATAATGAAGGCAAGGGAGGAAAGCATCCGTATGCTCGTGCAGGCTTCGGCAGCTATATGGTGATAGTTGACTGACGTACAGAAAAGCCTTCGAGAGATGCGCTCAGCTAACCATCGCGACGCGACAGGGGCACCGAACCGAGTTGTGCCGCACAAACCATCCAAAGGCCCGCTCCGGCAACCTTCCCGCAAGGGAAGTGTAAGTGCCCCCAGACTCACCTCCCCCCTGAACTGTAGTCGATAGCTCTCCCTCGCTGCTTGTCTCTCTAAGAGAACGATCGGAGCACGTATCCGGCAGAGAACCTGCGCACGGAAGCACACAAAGGAGGCTTTGTAGGTGTTGACTGATGCCTGGTTTCCCTTTCAACATCAATTTGATCTAGGCCTTGGGGACTCCCACTTGAACGCTAGCCCGGCGTCAAGGATCAACACGTGAAGCTTTCTGAATGCATCGATGCACAGCACTCTTGTAGCCCACGCAGAGGACGGCCAGATGATCCGGGTTTCTGAGACCAGAACGCGCTACGCAAGGTTGTGGGTGTCGGTGTGGCGTGGCAGCGAGGCTTTCGGACGGTGACGCGGCCAGAAATAGTCGTGGCATATGCAATTGTGTAGAGAACCAACCTATGTACTCATCCGGAGAGCGGAACTCTTGACTGACCTTGTCCCCATGCCTCGAAAGGGTGAGCTTCAGCTGCAGTCCAGATTTCTGAAAGAGCGTATTGACGATGACTTCCCGTGCCAGTCTGACCCACTCTGACTGAGATATGGACACCTTAGAGTAATAAGTGGAGGGGGAATAGTCGTTCAATACGTTTCTGGTCTGTTCTACACTCCTTGCCGTACTTCGTTGGCTGCGCGCCTTCTTTTTGCGGAGTTGCTTCGATTTGCTGACAAGAGCACCTCAAAGTCAAGAAATTTCCGGAAAAACGTTCATTCCTGGGGTCCATTGTCTTCCTGCTGGCGTATTTGGCATAGGTGCCAAAAAACGTAGAAGGGGAGACGACCCCCCCCTCAAACGATAGTACAGACGACAATAATCCCAACACCGGTAGGAACCACACACTGACCGTTTATGTGCGCTCAGTTCACTGGTGTACCACAGGAACGATCCTATAATGCCGAACCAAGCATGGGTAAAAAAATGGCCCATCAGACCCGAAGACCTGACTGGCACAATCTCCCACCTCCTCGGAGTCGTCGCTTGGCGTCCGGAACCTTGCCTCCCACTCCCTGGCGAGGCTTTCCTTCGCCGCGGCCTTGGTCACCTCGTCCCCGGGCACGGCAGAGTACCAGATGTCGTTTACCTGTTTGTCGTTGTCGGCCGCGTCTGGGTCGTTTCTATCTCCGTGTCCCATGGGTCGGTCCATGTATTTTTTTGCGTCCGGCAGCTGCCGCGTGTTTCGGCTAGTCACATCGATCTCCCTCGTATGTCTTACACGCATGCCCTAGAGGTGAAAACGGCGCCTAGCTCGGGATCCAAGTCGTATATACTTCCAAAGTGGTTTGGTTGCTGTTTCACTTGTAGAATAGTTGTCCCTGCCGAAGCACAATATACCCAGGACAGTGTAGAGCAAGGGTTCAGCGACGCAGCTTCGCCTTAAAGAGATCGGCCTCTATCTGTGTTCATCCTTTGGAGAGGCTTCAGCAGGATCTACTGCCCCGGACCCCGGAGTGGGTATTGAAAAGAACTTCTCCCCAACGTTGGAAGTTTTAGAAGGAAACTATTGAGAAGTGCAATATTGCAAGTGTTGGTGCTCATGTACCGGATTTCCATCGCCAAGGCCAGAACCGAGGAAGACTTGTCAGGTGAACTGGGATATCACAAGCCGTCACACGCCCGCAGTGTGGTACAAGCGGAGCTTTTGCAGCCTTTCATTAGGTAGCGTTGTCTGCACGCACCTCCGTCAAGGTGATGCGTTTGGCGGCTTCGAACCCGCCGGTGTTGCTATCGGAGTCGTCATTCCCTTCTCCGTCGCCGGCCTCCGACAACTTTCCGTATCCGGCCCCGGTTGACGTATCATGCCACCATTTGTCATCAAGAATTGCAGAACAGATGTCATCGGTCATATGACAGTATTCGTGTTGGAGCAGATCAGACACAGCTAGTCAAGCAGAAGCCCGAGGCCCTGCCCCGCGTTGGTCAAGACCGATTGTCGCCAAATAGACATGCAACCTGCTATAGTGCATGACTTCGGACTGTTTCCTCTCACTCATCATTCTCTGGCTAATAGATCATCATATCTGCCGTCGATTACACGCAAGGACCGGAGCGCCAAATACACTTGTTGAGGCAACATGAAGAGCATTGGAGACGGGCGGGATGTCTTCGTGGCATGAGGTTTTGTAGGCGTGGGGAAAGAAGCAGATGCCCGTGAACATGAGAGTGCCATCATGACCACCATCTCGCCATGGTTTCGGACAGCGCGTTCTCACCACGAACTTTCTAGCGTTGCCTTTTCTGCATGAGTTTGTCCGCGCTGTACGAGGTCCCCCCACCCCCACAGACCGCCTTCGTTGAGCAGGTGGTATGTCTCACGTTAGGGCAAACATTGCAAGGACCTGGAGTCGAGTTCAATTTGCACCTTTCAGCGCGTATTCACTTGTGTACTAAGAGCACGTCATCCGGTTGGTCTCAAGCCTTTGAACGAAAAGAACATGAGCTTGTCAACGCCCCATAACAGTATTCTCACGCCGAATCCGTTGGGGTCAAGCCACCTACCAGCGGGAAAACCCTCGCTGTTGTCTCACCTCGCTGCGTCTCCCACGACCCCCCGCCCGAGCCGCCTGTTCCCGCGGGTGTGGGAAGGCGATGAGGTAGTCATAGCGGTCGATAGTTTGGTCAATGTCGGCCACTCCATCGTTGCCCCCTTCCCGTTGACCCCCGCCCCCCTCCCCG